CAATATTAGATCTTTTTTTCCCCTCATTCTTCGCAGTCGAGAAGCTGTTCATCTGGGAAGCAGAGAAAACCTAGGTTTCCCTCCATATCATCAGACAAGGAACATGATTCCAGATCCCCTTTCTCTGCTGAGGAGAATCTTGTGAGGTCAAGAAGGAAAAGGTCTCCATCTCCAATCAGAATGTCTTTATCCTCAGACAGAGCCACTGTCATCAAAACCAAGCCCAAGAGCCAAAATCTTGATGAGAAGCTAGCACAAAAATTGCATTTTCCTGAGAAGACATCAATTAGTAGTCCCATCAAGAATATACCCGCATTGCTTTCAAGTACAAGGAGGGTATTTTCTGAGCACGATGAAGAGCAGTTCAGGACAACAATTTTCAAAAGGAAGTTAAAGGCGGTGAGTAAAAATGTTGGCATGGATACTGGAGGGATATTAGAGGCTAGAAAGAAGAGTGATTTCTCAGAAACAGAAAATGACAGCAATGTGATCGGTTCACCTGTAATCTATAGTTTTAAGGAAAAGAAGCTTCAGTACCATGAAACAAGTGTCTCTCAAAATATTGAGCCCAGGTATATTTCTTATAATTCATGTGCACGATAATGTTCTTTTATGAAACGTTTAAGGGATGTTCTGCTTAAATGGAGATCTTTTTGCCAGAACATTTCTTGAGATTTCGGAGCCATTGGCTACTATGAAGCATGAGAACAAACCTCCAATCCGTTTTGTTCGCAATGGGAAGGAACGAAACAAGACAGCTGAGCCTGAAATCAGACGCAGCAGATCTCTTCCTCGTGGAAAATTTACAATATCATGAGCTGTATATGCTTTCAAATATTAAATGGCTGAAAGAGCGTATTCTTGTCAAAAGCAATGTAAGTAATATAGGTGTAATGTCTATGTAAGCTAAACGATACACAATGATTCCAGAGTTACAAATCAGCAATGTTCCTCATTGTTTATCTGCAGGCCAAACAGTTCAGTGGTACGTACCAAAAGCTCTATGATTTGATTTAACGTTTTTAATCTTTTGGTTTTTAGCAGATATTTCATGATGTCGGATCAATTATCTTATTTTTGTACCGAGCAAGAAAGAAGCACCTGACATGTTCATTGAAACCCTTCCGTTTTCTTTTGCTTTCTTGTTATTGTTATACAAAGTGAAGATAAAGGTTTGCCAGGTTCAATTTTCTCCAGTATTATGTTTGTATCTGGATAAATTGTTAGCATGCCCTCAGATGGCTTAATAGTTATTTTATTTTGATGGCATGATGTTTCGTCCTCAGATGGGATAATACATCAATATTCAAAATGTGTAGCACAATTTTTTAATGGTATAATTTCCAGAAGCGCACAGTAATCACTAGGAAAGTTACATACGTGTTATCCTAGTGTGTATGGTACAAGCTTTATGGTCTAATCTCCCATCGAAGCTTCATTATTAGTGTGAGCGTGAGACACCTCAGGGTGTCTCGGCGAGCGAGACACCTCGGGGTGTCTCGGCAATATGTCTCGCCCCCCGCCGAGACACCCTGAAGTGTCTCGGCACCCGAGACACCTCGGGGTGTCTCGAGCGCAACCGGAGCGGGCAGGTTGTTTTCGTTTTAGACCCTGTTTCCTTGATATAAATGGGAACTTTGTTCCTAGGGTTTTTAGAAGTGTAAGGGGGCTGTCATCAACGAAAAAGAAAGAGTTCTTCAGATCTGAAAAAGGTGAGATCTTGAGGAGAGAAAAGAGGGAGTGTTTGGAGAGATTGTACAAGAAAGAGGTCATCTTCTCTTGGGTAAAATCAAAGCCTCATCTTTGGGACGAGCTTGTGGGTTGTGCAAGTCGTCGGTGTTCTCCATCATAGTGGAATCTCCCTTCTCCTCCCTTCCCCGTGGATGTAGACAAGTTTGTCGAACTACGTAAATCTCGTGTCTTCTTTATTGTTATTTGTGTATTGGCTATTGCTTGTGTTGGTTTCCTCGATATTCAGACCTTGACTTGATATCGGGAAGAGTGTGTATCTCACCTCGCTGAGATATTCACTTCTGTTCTTATTTCATATCGAAACTTGAACATCGAGGTTGACTTGAGTTTTATAAAAATAAAAGCTAGTGCTTTCTCTCGAGGTGATTTACTTTCGCGGCGAGTGAGCGTGTCGGCCTCCAACAATTGGTATCAGAGCCCTTTTTCAGATTGGGGGTGGTAAAGCTTCTGATTTGAGGTGATGCTTAGTTATTGTGTGGTGCACACAAGATGTTTGTTGAAATTCCTGAGAGAAACAAATTTACTAAATAAGCAGAGAATGACGTCTACCCGTAAAACAATTAAAGTTAAAAAATATGAGATTAAAAAATTCAATGGGAAGAATGATTTTTCTTATTGGAGGATGCAGATAAAAAATTCGTTGATTTCGCAGAAATTTAGTTATTGTGTGGTGCACACAAGATGTTTGTTGAAATTCCTGAGAGAAACAAATTTACTAAATAAGCAGAGAATGACGTCTACCCGTAAAACAATTAAAGTTAAAAAATATGAGATTAAAAAATTCAATGGGAAGAATGATTTTTCTTATTGGAGGATGCAGATAAAAAATTCGTTGATTTCGCAGAAATTGCACAAGACTTTAGCATGAAGAGAAAAAAAACACAAAGATATGTCTGATGAGGATTGGGAAGAGTTAGATCTCGAAGCACGAGCGTCGATTGTCCTATGCCTTGAGAGGGATGTAGCTTTCTTGGTGGATGGAGAGGCAACGACGGCGGGTGTGTGATCAAAATTAGAGAGTACCTTCATGACGAAGAGTCTAACAAATCGGATCTACTTGAAATCCATATTGTATACTTGCAAAATAGAAGAAGGCCCATCAATCCGGAAGTACATCAATAAGTTTGATAGGATCATATCGGATTTGAAGGATATTGATGTGAAAGTAGAAGACGAGGATCAAACACTTCTGCTACTTCTTTCTTTACCAAAATCTTATGAAAATCTGATACAAACATTGATGCTTGTAGGTGACAATTTAAAATGGATGAGACTAGAACATCGCTTCTAGCGGATGATCTTCGATTACAACTAGTAACATGGCTACTAGTGGTAACAAGGAGCAAGCACAGGGATTGTTTGTAAGAGCAAGGGATGAAAGTCTAGATCGAAATCAAGATCTTTTATAGGAAGACTGTGTTTCAAATACGATGAGCTTAGGCATTCAAGGTTGACTGTCCTAATAAGAGAGTATGCGAGAAGAAGAACAATAAGAAAAACGAGAGAAGAGAAGGCAAGGAAGAGGCGAGCTATGTCTCAAAGAAAGGGAGCGAAAAAGAATGCTATTCCGTTACGTGCGGTGAAGATATCTCCAGTAAGTGGATTCTTGATTCAGGTTGTTCTTACCATATGTGTCCAAATAGAAAGTGGTTTACTGCCTATAGGAGCATTGATGATGGAACCGTATTGATGGGGAATAACCATGCTTGTAAAACGGTGTGGCTTGATGATATCAAAATCAAATTATATGATGGAGTGGTCAGAATCCTGACGGATGTGAGGCATGTCCCCGACTTACAGAAGAATCTTATCTTAGTTGGTGCTTTAGATTCTGGTGGTTGCAAAATAGTAACAAAGAATAGAGTAAATAAAGTTGTTCGATGTTCCTTGGTAGTGATGAAGGGCATTCGTTATGGTAACCTATATACTCTCTCAAGTACGACAGTGATAGGAGATACAACAGTTAGAACTGATGGAAGTGGTAGAGATCCATGTGAGCACACTCGGTTATGGCATAAACGGCTTGGGCACATGTCAAAAAATGGTCTAGATCTGCTTAGTAAGGAAGGTTTGCTGAAGAACATGAAGAAAACTTGTATGGATTTCTGCGATGATTGTGTGTACGGAAAGGCGGACATGGTTCAATTCCTAAAAAACAAACACAAGAGCAGAGGTATATTAGACTATATGCATATAGATGTTTGGGGTCCGGCTCCGACAACTTCCAAGGACGGTTCCAGGTATTTTATCTCGTTTATAGATGATTATTCTATGTATGCTTGGATTTATTTTCTTAAGCATAAGAATAAGGTATTCGAGACATTCAAGAAGTGGAAAGCAATGGTTAAGAACAGAACATGCAGGAAATTTAAGACACAGAGATCTGATAACGGTACAAAGTATACAGAGGATGTTTTCAAGAAGTTCTGTGGTCAGGAGGGTATTGCTCGACACTGGACAGTCAGGTCTACACCATAACAGAATAGAGTCGTAGAGAGACTGAACCGTACACTGCGGGAGAAAGCAGTGAGTATGCAATCATATGCTGGTTTGGGAAAAATGGTGGGCATAAGTAGTTGTTACAGCTTGTTACATAGTGAATCATTCTTCACATTCGATATTGGATGGTGATGTACCCTATCGGGTATGGTCAGGGGAGCATACATATTATGATAGGCTCAGGATTTTCTGATGTACAGGCTATTACCACGTCAACGAGGGAAAGCTTGACACAAGAGCCAAGAAGGAAATATTCTTGGGGTATGCAGCAGGCGTAAAAAGCTATCGTCTTTGGTGTACAGAAACTTCCAAGTTTGTGATTAGTCGAGATGTTATCTTTGATGAGAAATCCATGATAGCTTTATCGAAAGCTAGGACGCCCGAGAATGATGGTGTTGAGACTGTTGGGACTTCAAAGTCCCAGGTGATTGACATAGAACCTAAAAACGAACCATGTTCTAGTCGTGTTCAAGAGGAGGATCATGGAGACACTCGGGAAAAGAGTGATGATGAGCTTGAACAAGAGGAGGTTCAGCAAGAAAATATACAAGTACTATAATAACAACAGCTCGAAGATAGATTGGCTTCCACTAGGTCAAGGCGAACATATGAGTAGGTTCAGAAGCTGGGGTCAGATCAGCCTCTGAGCACTATGAGCAGGTAAATTTAGTTGAGTACGCACTCTCGATGGATGATGATAAGCCAGTCACCTTCAAAGAAGCTATTCAGGATAAGGATAGTGAGAGTTGGTTGGCTACGATGGAGGAAGAGATGAAATCTCTATGGAAGAAACAAATATGGGAGGTAGTCCCATTGCCCATAGGGAGGAAAGCTATTGATTGTAAGTGGGTGTACAAGAGAAAGGAGGATCCTTTCGAGCTCGATGGTACAAGGTACAAGGCTAGACTAGTGGCTAAGGGGTTTGCACAAAGAAAGGGTATAGATTACAATGAGATTTCTTCTTCGATGGTAAAACACACTTCTATTCGGGTGCTATTGAGTATTGTTGCTCATGGTGATCTTGAGCTGGAACAACTCGATGTCAAAACGGCCTTCTTGCACGGAAACTTGGAGGAAAAAATCTATATGCATCTGCCTGAGGGTTACAAGGTTGAGGATAATAAGCATCATGTAGGTCGCTTGACGAAATCACTTTATGCATTGAAACAATCTCTTCGGCAGTGGTACAAGTGATTTGATTCATGCTAAAGCATGAGTTTTTCAAAAGCGATTATGACTGTTGTGTTTATATTCGGAAGCTTCGTGGAGGTGATTATATATATATATATATATATATATATATATGAGAAGCTAGGTGGAGATAGATAGGCTGAAATCTCAACTTGGTAAAGAGTTTGAGATGAAGGACATGAGCACTGCTAAAAAAATACTGGGTATGAAGATTAGAAGAGAGCAGGCGAATCGACTATTGTTCTTGAGTTAGAATGGCTACATTGAGCGGGTTATCGCAAGGTTTGGGATGCAAAGTGCTAAGTCAGTGGTGACTCCATTGGCTCCACATTTCAGGCTCTCAAGTAAACAATCTCATACTATAGCAGAAGAGAAGGCACACATGGAACGTGTACCTTATGCTAGTGCAGTTGACAGTTTGATGTACGCAATGGTGTGTACACATCCAGATATTTCACAAACAGTCAGTATTGTCAGTAGGTTTATAGAGAATCCAGGAAATGCATATTAGAAAGCAGTGAAATGG